CATCAGCTGGTACTCTATCGTCTTCCACCCATGTTTCTATTTTCCCCAGATCTCCCATGGATATCTGTTAGATTTCCCGAGGATCTGATAGATTTAAAGGATGAAGATGACGGAAGACAGTGAAGATCAATGTGCAGACGGATAATCACTCACGAGGAGGTTCTATATCGAAAGAAGTTTTTCGGTGCATGCAGAAGTCATTCAACAGCTCTTGCAGGGTATAAAATACGTGAATCTATACTGATGATAGATTCCAACTGGTCACTGGTCGTGTGTGGCGTGGATCAGCGTTCGGGGGTGTTAAAGGACGTACCGAGTTACCAGGTATAGTAGAAGGTGAGTTAAAATTTTGTCCTCTTTGCATGGTTTTGTCATCACCTTCTCAAAAACTCTGTTGTCCGGAATTGGAGTGCTCTTGCTTTTTCATATCTTTGGTCGATCAAGTCATGTCTTTTGCATCCTTTGGTCTACCTGATGATCGTTCTAACCTTTCTATTATTCGTCATCAATTGCCAATAATATTCCACCTTGTGTTTTGTTCAATTAGACAATCATTACAATGACCCAACACTGTGACTACAATACTGCTCACTGGTGTCACTATCCCTCTCCCCCTGATCGACCACGAGTCCCGAACCAGATGGATGACCTTCTCCCGACTTTCACCCCTTCCCCCCACCGTATAATCTTCTCCACCCTCCCACCCCTCTAATTCGGGACATGTGTTCCTCCGATGACAGAGGGTCGTTATCAAAGTTCTTATACTACTTGGCGATCTTGATTTCCTACTTGAACTGTTGGAGCTATGGACAGGGCTGATGGTCAGACTATATGAACCGGATTTTATGGGTAGACGAATTCGTCACTCACCATCAACCTCTAGACAAGATTAACGAAGGGTTTGACGATATGCACGTGAGTTTTATTAACTTGCTTACATTTATAATCCTGTCTACCCTGGTCTCCACTTGTCTCGATGGTGTTCCTCATTTCCATTTTTACGCGAATACTTCACATGAAATCACGCTTCTGTTCTCATGACGATCCTGGAGAATTGGTTTAAGGGGCTAATATAGCCGGGAGATGTATACGATGTGTCGTAATATGGGATCGAATGACCCATTTATGTTCCTATCTTACAGAACCACGATAGGCATATAGTACCTAGTCAGAAAAGTTTAGTTCGGTACTCTGAAGCACTTTTTGAAGTTTGACCATGGTCAAGTTTAGTATCTCGGTCATTCGAGTGGAACATGGAATGACGGAAGGAGAATAAGAATAAGAAGTACAGTATATGCATCAATTGTCTACTCTACTGTTGAAAGACAATACTGAGTAGAGGCCATGTTGATGTATTTCGACAATGACGATTGATAGATGACAGGAGTTGTAGATGAACGACAGGTTGACATGGTGGCACCGACAGATGACGGGGAGATGAATCGACGACATTTTCCGTAGATGACAGAAGACAGGGGAATAGATCGACATACTTCGTAGATGACAGAAGACAGGTGGACAGATCGACATATTTGATAGAAGACAGAAGACAGAGGGATAAATCGACAAATTTCCTGAATGACAAAACAAAGAGATAACGACCACTAAAACCACTTGTCATCAAAGAGTGAATCAAGGTTTCGAAGGAGCTATCTCTCCACATTCTTTACATCTCCTTCCTTCTTCATCTTCCATCCAAGAGTTTATCACTGGTTTCAATTGAGTTTCAAGATCTGAACAATGAAATTGAACTTGTTTTATCATTACTAATGAGGTGTGGGATGTGTTTGGACAATACCATTGCATTGTGTCTGTTTATCAATTATTTTGTTCGGATAATTCCTTCCTTATGATTAGAACGTGCTTGTGGGGGAGTTCTGTGTATGGGATGAGGCTATTCGAGTAATTCTCCTTTCTGTTTAGAACGTGCGCGCGGGAAGTTTGAGAACTCTGTGTGTGTGTATGGGATGAGGCGGGTGGATCTTCATGGAGTTAAGACCAGGGACTTGTGGGTGTTTTATTCTCGAGACGACTATAATTAAGATCACGGAGAAAAGGGTCATAGGTACTAGGTTCGCTTAGGGGAGAGGGGTTTGTGATCAGAAAAGCGAGATGGATTCTGAAGGGCCGAAGCCAGGAAAAAGGTATGGTCAAGAGGTCTGTTAGGGATTATGTGGGATGGAATATCGGAGAGAGGGGATGAAGTGTGAGTGGAAAGAAATAAAAATGAGAAGGGAAATTTGTATGTAGAGAAGAGAAGAGGGGAAAAAACATACCGATGGCTTCACCAGGTCGTACCATTTCCATCACTATCCCAATTGTATTTTCTACCCTACGAGGAGAATGAGGTGTGTTAGCTGTTAATCAGCATTGAACGTGAGTTAGCCCCTCTTCCAAGATCCCACCACTACGAGAGAGGTTCGTATGTAGTTTCATATTGAGATATGCTACAGGGTAGTTTGTTGACGTGAAGATGTTGAGGATTGTATAGTCAGACAGAACAAGAAGTTTGGGCTACTAGATGATGGGGAGGGAGAATCGGAAGAGAGGGGTGGGAGAGGGGGAGAGCCTAGATAGCGGGGATTGATCACAATGAGATTTCAAAAGTGGCGGGATGAGTTCGAATTGGGTATCAAGATGAAGAGATAAAGCGTGTAATGACAAGGTAGAATGATCATTGTTTCCCTAACGTAGGATCAGGGGGCAGTAATCAAAACATGTAGAAAGAGTAGTTATGTTAAAACGAGGAAGAAGAATAATAAAAGGATACTTACCAGGTAATAAAAACATATCACCTTCTTCAATAATAATATCTTTGATCTGTCCCTCTTCAACAACTTTTAATACCATAGTTCCTTTATATTGATAAAACCATTCTTCAGTAGTATTCACATGAAAATCAACACGGGTGTTAGGACCTCCGACGATCATTGTGAGAAAGTTTTCTCCTCGAAATAGAAGTTTGTTACCTGTAATAATTCTATATCAGCTTCGTTCACTTTAACATTTTCCCTCTATGAATCCTATTACGAATCAAAATTCTTGTATATGATTTCGAGTTCCGGAAAAGTATCTTTGTTGTAGGTGTGGGTAGTCACCATTATACTTTATATGTGATGTTGGTGCATTTGATGATTCATCGTTTGAGATATCTTATGTTATTGAGACTGGGAAACGGATCTATAGATGAGGTCAGGTTTGGTAGTGTGAAGATTGGGTGGATGAGGCAGATGGGAAAGTGAAGGCATGGAGCATCGAGGGAGATTTATGGAGAGTGGATTTTGAGTATAGAGGAAAAAGGATGACTCACCAACAGGTGGTTTTAATAAATGTTTATTCTCTTCTATCCATTTAGGAAAGTTGATAGGTTGGGAAAGCATGTTTTTATCTATTTACTTCGGCTCAGAATCTATTTCCTGATCTACCTTTTCTTTTTACAAACTAGACAGTTGAAGGGACATATGTGACAAGATACAAGATGCGAGATACTAAGTATTGGGTGAGTTTACTGGGAGTATGTACAGGTGAATACGAGTAGGGTAAGGTTACGAATATCCGGATTCACAAATAGAAGACTACGTCGACCTCCACATTGGAATCACGTGACGTCGATCTTCTTTCTGAGACATATCATGGATCTACACAAATTGACCCTAGGGCGGAATGAGGGATACATACTAGCTTGGTACACGGGACGGAAGTACGTTACATACATATCATATCATGCTATGAACGTGAAGTGGTTTATTGAAATGGAGGAGGATCGGAGGAAGCGGGCAAAGGTTTTGACGAAGAGAGGCAGAGTTGCAGGTGAGTGGAAGGATGAAGGAGCAGAAGATGGCTGTCAGAGGGGAAAGTACGACTAGGATTCGATGAAACGAGAGAAGGAGATACACTATATAGAATGGAGGAGGTATCTTCAAAACATAGTATCCTCATCTCGAAGAAATTCCCCAACATCAGCTTGATGAAAAACTATGATTCCTGATGGATCCAATTTCCGAGTGTCCAATGTGGACCTGGCGGTGACTCCGAAGCCCTGTACGTCAGTCACAGTCTCGATCTGTAGCGCTCTTCTCGTGGTCTGATCAGCAACCGCATGGTGGATCAAGGGGCAGGGGGTTCATGTTTGGCCCCCCACCGATCGCATTCAAGCCAGAAAAGAATGCTCCAAGAAGGAAGGATGACTGATGAAAAGGTCGTGTTGAGAAAGATGGGGTGGTATTGGGAAAATGTACAATGAGGAAAAGAGGTTCGCGAGGAAGGGATAGAAGAAAAGTATATGATTAACTCACCAATGGCACATCAGCCATATTATACACTACAACACCTTGATGTTCCGGTGTATCCTCTGTTATCCGTCCTAAATGAGCTTTGACGATATGGTTTCCATATAAGAATGGGAGTTCTCCAGCGGGTTTTATCCATATCAACTCGGTCAACATTTTCTTTCACTCCCTCCGACACTCTGACCCTCTACCCCTCTCCCCTTGAAAACCTCTGTTTCTCCCTGCAGACCATCTAAACTGATAGTGAAAGTCTTTATCCCAGGATGACCCCTGTGTAAACCTATCTTTTTCACAAAGACTCAGCACTACAAGTGACGCACTCCGTCTCAAAAATGATCCAGTCACACAGCTGGTAGGACAGAGTATGATTAGGCTGGCAGTAATATCACTTGACGGTCGGTATAGCTGAGACGACGAGAAGAGTCGTAGGATGGTCCAAACTTTTCATCTCAAGAGTGAAAATCGCGGAAAAAGCAGAATATAAGATTATGAAGAGAATGAATAAGTGAGAGTGATGAAAGGAAAGAGAAAGTGAAGCAAGAGAGAAGAACCCATGAACCCACCTTATGTTTCGCATACCTAGCTAACCAATCCAAAGAAGTAACACCCAATTTGAATTTCCCAGTCTTACTGAATTTCCCCATACAAGTACCCAAACTGACCAAATTAGGTCTGGCTATACTCGTGGCGTAATGTAACATTGGTAAAGGTAAATAATAAACCCTATCTTTATGTAATCGGAAAACATGAGCGTCATCTTCTGGTCTATCTATGAGATGAACCAAGTTTTTGCCGATGTAATTTGCGAGTTCTAAGTGTTAAGTATTGGATCTGTATCGTTCCCCACCACCCGGGTATGACATAGGATAGATTGAATACTTACTCTCGAAAACAGCTTTTGTTTCATCTTCTGATAAAGGTCTCATCTTTATATATCTCTTGTTCTTATTCTTACTTGTAATGAGAGAAGGTCCAGCAGCTGCCCAGCAGGGGAAAGGGGGAAGGGGTGGACGAAGAAATCTTGGGAGTAAATCGAGATAAAAATGAAAAGAATAATAAAAGTACCAAATGGGGGCACCGCGCGTCGCTCGCACAACGCTGACGCTGCTAAGTTAACTCTCTCTTCATTCCACCTCGTTTCTTCTATATCACCTCCTTACCCTTCTTCCCTCTACTTGATATCTGACCCTAATCTACTCACTACCCCGTTTTGTAGACTACAGACTTGGGTAAGAGAGTCTGGGCTAGCAATATGGTAAGTAACCAACTCTGGATAGATGGTAGCTGATGAATAGTTTCGCAATTCTTACGATTCGGATAATACTACTTTTGTCAGTGTCCCCTTCCCCTCTTCACGTCATACTCAACTATCACATATGACCAACATGTATTATCTCCATCACACTTTGATGAGGCCGAACATAAGTTCTGCTACAAGATAGAGGGTTCATCTACCAGCTGACTATCGTCACATTCTTCTCAGTCCTCTTTTCTGTAGAGGTTCGAAGGAGCGAGTGAGGTGTCAGTTGAAGAGGGGGTTGAAAATAGAAGATGGAATTGTCATAGCGTGAAAGTTATACTCACGACTAGTCCCCTCAAGGTAAACTCCATCAGGTCGAATACGCCCTAGAAGCCGTCAAACAGGGTTCTGCGGCCATTGGTTTGAGATCGAAAACACATGCGGTTCTCTTGACTCTCAAGGTGGGCTCTTCACTTTTCGTCTCTCCTCCTTGTCATGCCTCACTCTTTCCATCGTCTAGTCTGTATACCTCCAATGTCAGATCCCCGAGATCTCTGGGTGAACGTCCATGGACTCATGCATTCTTGAAATCAACCACTCTCAAGGGGGTTCAGACTGCTGTTGGCCCGAAGCTGCATTGACGTATGCAATGTGGGAGTGCTCAGAAGAAGACGATGCTGATCTTAGCGTTCTACGGGAGAGCTCGCAACGTACCAGAAGAAATTGATCAGGATTGACGATCATGTAGGAGTGGCTATCGCCGGTTTGACGTCCGATGCGAGGGTGTTGAGGTGAGTGTTCTCAGTCGGTATACCAACAATGTTCTTCTCCGAAGAAGGACTACTGAGATTACGAGGGTATTGCAAGTGAAATGTTGGATTGACATGTAGTAACTTTATGCGACAACAAGCTATGTATTCTCGTATGCTTTACGCTCGACCTATGCCTGTGTTCCGGATGGTTCAAGGTATTGCGGATCGTGAGTTTACTTCTCATTGATCATGCGTGTGGCTCCCACGCGCCTTCTTTCAGGTAGTTTCGCCTTTTGAACCCTCTTTTGGGGTGAGGGCGAACAATAAAGAGGCAGCCGCTTGTCTCTTTTGCTGGTCTTATGAATCCATGCTAATGATCAGGTGCCCAGGCAAACACACAATATTACGGTAAACGACCGTATGGGGTCGGGTTCTTGATCATTGGAGAAGACGTGAGTTCTTCATGCAGCTCTTCACCATGTATCCTCAACGGCGTGGGACGCTTCGTCTCGATGGAGTCGACATGTAGCTGGCGTTTATTCTTTCTTTGTTATGTTGCAGCTCCACTCTTGTTACCAGGCTTCGAGCTGACGTTGCAGGAGACTGGCCCCCACCTGTTCGAGTTCTCTCCAACCGGCACATCGTTTGAGTACTACGCCCATTCTATAGGCGCCCGTAGTCAAAGTGCAAAAACCTATCTCGAACAAAACTTTGCCTCTTTTGAAGATTGTAAGTCATCAAATCTACCTATCCATTCCCCTCGTCTTCCGAGAATGTGAAAAATATGGAGGGGTAAAGAAACTTATGTTGATACTCAGCCACCCTTGCCGAATTGATCAACCACGGTCTTTCCGCCCTCGCCGACACTTTGCAACAAGACAAACACCTCACCATCGCCAACACATCCATAGCCATCATCGGTCCTCATTCTCCCGAAGTGGAGAACTCAACATCTGCCGCCGCTCGTAAAGGTGCTTTTAGAGTGTGGGAGAATGAAGATGTAGATGTGTTGTTAAGGGCCTGGCGACGAAGTAGGGGTGAGCCAGAGGATGGACCTCAGGAAGAAGAGGCGCCGGCGGCTGAGGGAGAGGGAGAGGTACCTCCCGTTGATGCATCAGCGACTACGACGGAGGATGTTACTATGGAGGAATAGGTATATGCATTGCATTGTGTATAGGTTTGTTTGGGTCATTGAGCTATTACCCATCTTGCGTATCTTGCCTACGTCTCACTCACCCACATGGTAGAGGATACAGAGGTACTCAATTTGATTCCGCTCTTTGAGGGCGCCCTCCACGCTCGTCACTCCAGGTTCAACTCGGACTGAGTTCTTGTTCTTTCGCTATAACTTGAGTGAGAATAGAGAGAGAGACATCATGGTGAGTGATTATCGTACTGAACTCAGATGCAGAGCTAACCGGTGCTCTTCTATCCCATGGTCATCTTGTTTATATCATCATGTCGACTTCACTCGGGAATTATCATTTCATTCCATACCTATCACACATTCCACCCCTCTTCCTCTTGTCCAACCTTTCCATCACATTTCTCTCTCAAATTTTCATACCGATCAACCCTCTTTCCCTCCCATCATCTCTCTCGAATCTCTTCAAGTTCCAATCTTATTCATGTAATCGGCTATATCATCACATTCTTTTGACCCCTCACTCAACTCAACATACCACCAATCACCCTCCCGTGATCTCATTCACTCCTTGACTCATACACCTCTGTCTGACTCTTCTCCCCCCAACCCCCCCCCCCCCCCCTTCTTCTCTAACTTTCCTTCCCTCTCCTACCCTTCCTCCTTCCGCTCCGATCATCCACTCTGAATACCTACACACACCTCAACAATACGATCACGATAATAGACCAATCTATCATTATACACAATCACAGCCCTTCTAATCCTCGATACCGAAGGTCAACGTGTATTGACCAAATACTACTCTCCTCCTCATTTAGGTAATCATGCTATTCACGGTGTACCCCATTCCGGGGTACATACCCAAGGACAGGGACAGGGACAAGGTGGTATAGCGGGTGAATTGGGAGTAGGGAGTGGAGGACCTGGGATGGGTTTGAGTAGTTTGAAAGAACAGAAAACTTTTGAGAAAAGTGTTTTTGAAAAGGTTCGAAGAGGGGGAGGTGAGTCTATTCTCACTTGATCTCTCTTGCCTTTTTTGGGTGGAGACGTCTCTTTGATCTCATCCCTCTCTTTTAACTTTCTCTCCCTACTCTACTGAGAACTTTCTTGTCGATATTCATTCCTCTTATCTTGATTTTCTCCTCTTTAACATCTTTCTCCCGTCCTCAGTTCTCGATTACCTCTGTTCTGTTGTCTCCTCTCAATTTCCGATTCTTGATTCTGAACTTTCCCTGCTCCTCTTCTCGTCGAAGACAGCCACTGCGGATCCACCACATGAAACGGATGACCGCCATGAAACACCCGAATAGGCTAGTCCGATTGAGGCTAGTCTGGCAACGTCTTCAATCTGTGTCCACGCGATTGTCTCCAGGATACGAACCAACCAAATTGTGTCGTCCCGTTCTAGTCGACCCGTTCATCATACTTATCTTGTCATATTCGTCCTCATGGACATATCACCCCTAGCCTGTGTATTCGATAGGGTCGACCATGAAAATCTGGGAATTTTGGCTCACACTCAATAGGCGAAATCCATCCCCTCCCTCCCCACCTGGTCCTCACGCGAACTACCACAGATCTTCATTTCATCCTCGTCGGTCCATTAGGCACGTCAAACGAACTCATGCTTCAACTCACCCTCACGGCCTTCCACGACGCTGTTAGCTTACTTCTTCGTGGCCAAATCGAAAAACGTAACGTTCTCGAAGGTCTAGACTTGGTACTTCTAGCAGCGGACGAGACTATCGATGATGGGTAAGTGTTTCATCTTATTCGAAATTACCTCTTTCAGTTCAGCGAAAGGAAGGTGTCCTCGATCATGATTTCGTGCACGTCCGTCAGATCAAATCCATTATCACACTCTCCACTCATTATTACAACCTACGGGAAAGCTGATATGATAGAATAATCCTCGAAACTGACGCTGCCGCCATAGCAGCTAGAGTATCACGTCCCAAAGCAGATACGACGGACATAGTCATCAACGAACAAACTATCATGAACGCTTGTAAGTAGTTTAAATCTTTTCCTTTCATCGTTCATTCATCGCTTCTTTCACTTCATCTCTTTCTCGCTCATTTCTCACGATGTATCGCCTTTCACCACTTCATTCCCCGAGCTGTGTCGAAGAGTTTTACTCCACTTTTAAGGCTATGCGTTCTCACACTATCTCCGAAGCTATGCTTTCTCACGTCGTCGACTCCACATACCCCCCGGTCGAATCGGATTTCGGATCTTGTCAATGTGGAGAATGACTGACGTATACAGATTCTAATCTCAAGGAAAGAGTACAACAACGTATTGGACAGTTGTGAGAATGTTCACATGCACGTCATATCGATTTTCGTACGACTTAAACTTTCCCTCTGACCTTTTGCCTTCGGGTTTCTTACGATGTTCCGACCGTCTCGTATCCAAGCTCCGTATCCAAGCACCGTGGCCCATGATCACAGGATCTCACCATTTCACGTTCTCACGTTCGTCGACCCGCCAGGCAGTGCAGCCACCGTGTGGCTGTGTTTCGAAGGAAACAGAGAGGCTAGAATTTGACTATGACGCGCGAGGCGATGCAGAGAAGGATGAAGGGAGAGACAAAGGTTGAGACCTTCAAGCATTGCAACTCAGGTAATTGGAGAGATAATTTGGACACTTGAAAAGATATAAAAGCTTCACTTTGCTTCAGCTCTCATCACACTTGATCTACTCACCCTCATAGAATATTGTTCACCCGCAGATACAATTTGACGGAAATCGTTTTCGTCGATAACAATCACAAATGCACACAGATTTGGACGCGGCCGCCGAGGATGCCAGTTCCAGGCATACCATAAGTGGAATCCCTGAGAACTTATCAACTTATGATTATGACATCAACAATACAGATCTGTAAGTCACTTGAGACCTCTTGCATTTCCGTCTATTGCAACACATGGTCCTGTGAGTATCTACAACTGGCTCACAGACAGACAGATCCGCAGGAAAAACTTTGAGCAGTCTACGTGGAGGCTTGCAGTTTCCAACGTTTGGGGAGAGCCCAGCATTGAAGTTGTAGGCCAGCCACCTGAGTCCACCAAAGAGGAGGCAGAGATGGTTGCTTTGACCATAAAGACTTTCTTGGCTGAACACCGGGCCGAGATTGCCAAAGATCCAAATGAATTCCGCATTGGGATAGCAACAGCCATTGAGAAAACACACACATCATTGGGTCTGCAACCTGGGGCAATTGCCATGGTCACAGATTTTGAGCATGATGATTTTGTATGTTGATCAAAGGAGTCTCATGGAAAGAGCTCATATTTACAGATGAAGTCAGATGCACTGACACTGCCGCAGAAGACATCAGAGCAGGAGCAGCCACCAGCAGGCATTGATTACAACATTGAGCATTGGAGCGGGCTGTAAGTAGCTCAAATCCCATCACATTGATTGTTGTTGTCTTCAATAGTTTAGAGACTGACAGGCAGGGAATTCCGTGTCTCATCTTTCATGAAGTATCCTTGGAGAATTGTGGTCTCAGGGGCCTGGAGTAAGGACCCAAGGGCCAAAGTTGTGGGATTCCCTGATGGAACCTCAGCAATTCAGCAAGACGGGGTTGCTACCACTATGTCAAGTGCTCTGGCCAAATACAGTGAGGAAATTGCTGAGACTCCCTCATATTTTCGGGCAGCGATGACAATAGCCAAGGGTGTCACAGAGAAACAGTGGGGGCTTGACTTTGGTGTGATTGGTGCAGTCACAAACTTTGAGCATGAGGATTATGTGAGTCTGCTCAGTAGACAGTGTCCAAGGGTGCTCACAACAACAGATGAATTGGTTGACAAAAGGCACAGGAGGAGCTAGAAGTGTGGAAACATATGTGGGCGCACAGATCAAGTCCAAGGCAATGGCTACACTCATCCTTCAACCTTTACAAGCTGCTATGGACAACTATATGCAACCTGACTCAACTACTCAGACACGTCAATTAGCAGCAAGATACAGAATGATAGAAGACATGAAACTCAATGCTGAGGCACTTGGAGTGACTGACACCATACGTGCACTTCTGGGGAGACACCCACAGGCAGATGACATATGTAGCCTTCTTAAGAAGCATAAGCGGGCAGTGACAGAAGGTTCTGCAACCCACGACTCTGTGACGGCTGATACAAAGCAGGTCAGTGAGGGCATCAAGGCACTTTTCCGGGCACAAAAACCTTCAACAAGTGCAGACGAGGCACTGCTTGCACGTCCAGACACCCAGGAGAATCTAACACAACTGGCCCGCCTCATCACAGAACAAATTGCAGGCACAGTACCACCTGACTCCAACCCAACTGGGGCTTGGACTACCTTGGAGAGACTCATCACAGTGGCCGTCTCATTTGTCCCAATACAGCCTGTCCCTCTTACAAAACGCACGTGAGTTCACACCAAGTCTTGTGTTGAGAACTCTTTTGGCTGATAGTTAGGCTTGTTTATGGAATTGTCCATGGAATCAACACCTCAACGCCAGTCGTTGTTGGGCATACTCACAAAGGCAATTCCAGGGAGCAGGCTGAAAACATAGCCAGGGCAGCTGAGACTCACCTGAGGACCAAAAGTGAAAAGTGGCTGGCACAACAGGATGGTCAGCAGTCTCTCAGGTCACTCCTATCTCAAGCTGTGGAAACTGTCACATCACAATTCCGTCTCCCCTCAGATGCAGTCGTATTAGGGACAAGTGACCAGCTACTGGCACTAGATGGATATTATGGGCTTGCTCGAGACTACATATGAACAAGTAATCATGCCACCACCTCGATACCCATGTGGCATCCACAAACTGCCCATTTGTATAGTGTGGTAGCATTCAGCTAGACCATCACTTGACAGCATTGAAGGTAGATGATGGTAGGAACGATGATGAATGAGAGAGATACTTGTCCGGAGCGAAAGTGATGCATACTCCGTACAACGCCAAAAGATGTGGCACTGGTTGAAAAGCTCGCCCTGATGCTACTCAACTCGGACTTGCCACAATCATTGGCTTTGGTTGGATTTTCTTATCAACAAAAATTAACACTGGGTTGCCTATGATTCTGTTCAGTCACTGCATCTCCAGCACACTCTCTGTCATACATCACCTACTTGTGACCTAAGATAGTCTTTGCCCATGTTCCCACACTCAAAACACATCTGGAAGACTTACCCCTGACCCCCTTTGCCTTAGGTTCACTGTTCTTGATCTTCAACAACAATTCCAACTGTTCTCTCTTACACTCTCACACATGGAACACTTACCCCTGAACCCCTGCGTCCTTCATCCATTGTTCTCCATTGTGTTCACCTACTCCTGTTGTCACGGATGGGGTCTAATCCCCAAGGGGTAGGCAAGGTGACTGGCATGGGGCTGTAACCCAATACTTGTCTCGGGCTCGTAGAGCTGAGGAGTACTGTCATAACCCTCGAATATCTGTGCATACCACGTGCATATCATCCACTCAAGTCCAGTCAACTTTACTCAACTCGTCTCAACTCGTTCCATCGTACAACATGTGGATCACCATTCAACCTTAATCACCCTCCCATCACTGAGTCAACCTGACTCGACATTGTATACATCAATCACGTCATCTGTCGTCATCTATCGTCATCTGTTGTCATCCCAAGCTCCGGCCGACATGTACCAGGTTCCGTGTCCTCAGTTCCGCTCAGATCGGACAAACTAATAAGCGAGGGTACCTCGGTGTCACGGCCGTCAAATAACTTCTTTCCAATAGACCAACGGTCGACGAACCTCGGCTAACTTGATGGTTCTAGCTCGATGTCTCACCCAACCAGGAGGGCGCAGACGTCGAAAGGGAGGTAACTACGACGTACTTCGGCGTAGTTACTCTATCTAAAAGGGGGTTTTACTGATGGCGATGTATCCCAATTTATATTGTAGCTATCTCTATCAATCTTTCACTACTGACAACAATCAAGGACCGCTGAAGAACCTCAGCGATCTTCTCAGCTAATATTATCTACTCCTCCTAGATCTTCACCCAACCCTCTCGCGCTCAGACGTACTTTGACGCACTTCATCCAACTACCCCGGTCCGGGGCCATCTCCTTCCTCCTTTGGTCAAATGAGGGTCGTTCTTGGTGTGATATTCGGGGTGTCACGAGGTAGTTCGTGCCAAAATGTGACCGTTGAGTCTTCACCATCACCGTGGAGTTGTTGTACCTTGGTATAGAGACACTTTTACTCAACAAGAAGCCCAGAATCTGAAAGAGGAGAGCTGTAGCTTCAGGCTGATACTATGGACACTTTGGGGGGTGGTAGTTTGAGGTCACCATCACCACCTGTGAATATGTCGTTAAACCCCCTTCACACACCTTTGCTGATCCCACTAGATTCCCCATAACCCGTCCACCGCTTGTCAACCATCACTAGAACTCAGCAAAGGAGGAACAGGGACAATGAGGACAGTCAGGACGACCCCCCAGCAGGTTCAGGATGGTCAAAAGACCAAGGAGACGGGGAGTATTGTTCCCTTGACTACCTTGTTGAATAGTCAGCCATCGGGGACAATTCTAAGAAGTATCAACATGGCCTAGGGGGTAAGAAGAAGCTGGGGATGGCTAGGGAATGCTCTGAGTGGATGTCCAAGTCAGGCTGTCCAACTAAAAGATCGACTGATCAGATACAAAACAAGTTAAGTTGTCACGACCGTCAAATAACTTCTCTCTAGCAGACCAACGGCCAACAAACCTCAGCTAACTTGACACTACGGCTTCGACATCTCACCCAAACAAAAGGGTGCAGGCATTGAAAGGAGTGTAACTACGGCGTACTTTGACGCAGTTACTCTAATTGGGGTTTTTCTCTGATGGCAATGTATCTCGATTTGTATGTATCTGTAACGCACTGGAAACACGACGACTGAGTCGCAGGTTGGGTCGAACTCGATGAAAGTCTTGTGGAAGTCTATGTGTCTGTGGTGCTATGTGATGGATCGTCTCTCCTCTGCAATCGATGTAGCCAAATGGTGATATTGAAGAATCAGCAAAGTTGGTACCTTGCTGATTGTACTATATACTGTCTACAGGTATCCTTGTCCTTGTCCTGTCCTCTCCTGCTGCAAGCGTCTACATACATACTCGGACAGGTGAAAAACCGCTTTTGAGCAAACCCAGTGGGGAAATCTCAAAAAGGGCAAAACCCGTCCCTACCTAATGTAGCACTGCCTCCAACTCCCGCTTTCCTCCATCCTAATCCGGCAAATTTGATAGAGTTCTCTTGATTTGTCGTGACCCCGTAACACTTTCAGAATGGCTCAGAGCCTTCTGAAATTCGTTTAAGACACTGCTTTTGATTCAGGGTTTCCACAGGGTTTCCCCCCTTGAAGTAGGAGAGGAGAGGAAGGGATTTTAGGCTCAGTTTGGAGGATTACGTCTATAAATAGTGGTTCTAGCTCTCTGTTTCTTTCTCTGTCTCTCTGATCAATTGTCATCTTCAATTCTAGCTCTCTACTCTAACTTGCTGTTGTCTTTAAGACTGTTTGAGATACGCCATTGCGGCTTCATCATCATCAGTCGTATATTCCCGACAGTTCTGCATTGCTATTCATCAAACACCTTCGACAAGGTCAAGAGCCTTCCTGCGCATGTCACGCCTGCGGGTAGACTGCGGTAGCAAAGTACTGCCTTGGGTACTGAAGGATTTTAGTCTCTGGCTCGTAGAGCTTGATGACTGCCCTAGGTACTGATAGCAGATCTCAATTGCACAAGAGACAGGTGGACTAAAACCGTGTACGAGCTTGAGTTATGACGGACAGAGTATAACTCGTGGCTTGTGAAGTTGGTCGGACAACTAGAAGACTTGGAAGGATTGGGCAAGTGGAGATGGGGGAAAAGGATGGGTCGATGGCAAAGAGAGGGGTGTGGATGAGGAGGATGGTTAGTAAAGAGTAAGTCGAGAGTTTTGTGTGTGTCAAGAAAATATATTGATCCTTAAGATAGAGGATCCTACAAGAGGGTTTATATACTATTTAGTGCATTACCATCTGTATTGCAATGGTAATGCCAAGTGCTGGTGGTACTACAGTTTGTACTACCATTTGTAATGCAGTTGTACACAGTTTCTGCAGTACAGTCTGTAGTACAGTCTGCAGTACAGTTTGTAATACAATACTATGTACCTGCCTGTCACTTCAATATACATGACTATCTATATGTGGTCTGGGTTACGACTGCATCGTAACAATATGCCATCTGTGAACCTCATTTGCATTCACAAACCCACAAACTATGACAAACATCATTCTCACATGAGGCAGGTAGAAGCAACATTTAATCACACAAAAACTGTTGAGGGCCAAACACCAAGTGGACTCACAGAAAGCTTGGAGATTTGGGACCACAAAGCAATGACCCAGACACTGAAGATGTCAGAGGAAAATCTGATTTCCAAGGCTTGGATAGTGTTGAAGGAGAATATGGGGGACTAAGAGACTTCCATATACTGGGTAAGAACACATACCAACAATACACACAATGGGCCAAGTCCAATGTGGTGCAGCCTGCAGCCGTTGGTCCTCCCAACTGTGTTGACTTGGCGGGAGACTTCATGAGGCTCACAGGAACACACCCAAGAGTCCAGAAACCGCATCCAAGGTCTCTCATCCTATCAGGTAGCAACATATCAATGATACAACTCAAGTGACCTGCAAAGTGCACTGTCCAGTTGTAATTGTCTACGAATGGGTTCATAGATCTTTCTGCTCATGATTCTCCCCTAGTTACTTATGCCATGTGCCTGCAGTTATTCCTATTCATCATTCTCCCCAGATTGTAGTTGGGACACACAAGTTTGAGCGCCTTGCAGTACCAGCTACACAGTGATATTCCTGAAGGTGAGATGTATTCTCACTAGACAGGATGATGTCGTTTGATGTGATCACGATCCCTCAACTGCAGTGGAAACCTTCACATGTGAACCCTCTCAGGAGCATGTGATGGGTAAAGGGGCAAATAGCACAATAGCAACACCATTAGTCCCATATCCTAAATTCCTCCCATTGTGTCTCATGATCAGAATCAAGTCCAGTCACTAGGTTCTTGATGATTGTGCGAGCATGACACATGTGTGGATCAAGTTGAACACTGGTTGATGAAACACTACCTTCACAAGGTGAGCAAAACACCCAGTAACAGCACTCCTCATGGAAGTCAGATAAGCAGGGATGAGAAGAAGGCCTGTGAGACCCTTCCCAGGCTCAGATTCCCCAGCCAACTAAAAGTTCAGTCAGAACTTGACCTATGAGTCTCTCATTTCCTGTCATGTGGGTCCATGTCACACCCTGGTGAATGAGTGGGTCGGATGTCTATCTATTGGAATGGGTCAGCCACTGTGGAGTGACCATGGTTGTCATGACCACGCGCGTCAAAGTTGCTAGTCAGGGTAATACTCAACCGTCTCTATTACCCGCCACCAATAAACACTACCAGCCACCCTTATTCACACTACACTCTCACTCCATGTACATGTTGGGGACACCGCCGGAGACGTGCACCTCTGGAGCTGCACAATTCAAAACACCCCCTTTGGACCCAGCCAGAGAACCATGCACCTCCAGAGGTGTCCGGACCCAGCCAGAGATTCTGATCCTAGTCATGCAGAAATATGATACCATTTTAGTAAACCTAGATGACACCTCTTGTCATTGATAGTCTATGTTAGTAAGCTCTGGAAGTTGTGTGGGTATATAACTACTTCAACAGTGGCTTCAGATTCCGCACAATCAACTCAAGATATTGGCCCAAGAGGCAAGAAGTATTGGTGTTGAGGAACAAATCATATTTGGGTCAAAGTGGAAGAGAAATTCATGCAGAAGTACTGCTCACATGTAAGAGAGTTTAGATCATATGTTTCCCATACGCTATGTATGACATGCTCTTCCTCATCTCATATGATGATGATCCTCCAGCTGGGTCTGTCAAAGGACTCAGACCACTCCGGAGTGGAATGTCTCTGGCTGGGAACGATAGGGTCCGTGCAGCTCCGTAGCTGTCCGTCTCCGGCGGTGTCCCTAACATACATAAGGGTAGTGCATAGCTTAGAACAACCTTGACAAATGTATCTTGTCTGTCTCAACATACAAGTTCTCATATACATTTGCCAAATTTAGTGTTAACTCCTTGAACTACTTGCTTCGATCCTTGCATCATCTCGCAACTAGTCCAAGTCTTTACAAGTAGCTTTATCACCCTCGACGCAGAATGGTCCATTCTTTCATTGCAAAGTCATCAGCATCATCTTGGTACCCTGGTTTTGTTGAAATCCATGTCATCGTGATAACCGGCGTCTCATACTACCACATTGTTTTTCCATTGGTAGTTCTATATTGCTTTATAAAGAGCTGAGAACTATCAGGTAGGTGACTAGTATCATGCATTCCATTATACAGAGCTGAGAACTACCTGGTACAACCGTCAGCGTCTACCGCTCTAGCAATCACTATCGACAGGTTTTTGAGTGATGGGCATGGTGTCAGGATCACGCGATATCACAGGTACCTTACCTGGTAGTCGTACTCCTTTTTCTATTCCCGTCCCCGTCTCCATTCCCGCGTACGGGCTTACTCCGTTTGGTACTACGCCTGGTACCCATCCTTCGACACCTCTACCCTTTTTTACATCTCCGTCTCGATAACTATCATCGCTCTTCCTCTGCTATTTTACCTCAACTTCATTTCAAACTACGCATGCTCTTCATCGGTATCATCCCGCTCTCTTTTTAGTATATAGACGTAGTCTTTTCTCAGCAATGTCTTGTTGAATGTATTTTGTGTTTTCCTAGTTATATCATTTGACATACATCTCATCGATCTCACAGATCTCTTCAATACACTACATCACTAGGTTTGTTCCCTACAAGGCCTCATTGTCACAGCTCATCGACGCAGACTATTCCGACGTCTGGTCCTTACACATGGCAGGGGAGAGAATAATGGAAAGAAGGGGTTGGTGAGAAAGAATCACTCATTCTCCATCCCAAAACGAGAAGGATGCTCCGACCGGCGAGACTCGAGTCCATGTCCCGGCCGTATACAGAGTGCAATCATGATCTCGGCCGTATACAAAGTGCAGTCATGATCTCACTGCCATCTATCGTA